GGGTACCCCACTACGCTGGCTGGTGGTTTTTTGGCAGTGTTTTACTTTTTCTTGTCATCTTTTGAGGCCATTTTTTCTGGCATGCCTAGAAAAATTTAAGGATCGTGTCTGCAAGATTTCATTATTTCTTTTACGACGTTTTTATTTTATTTTTCAAAGACGAAAAATAAAGAAAATCATAAAAAATAGAATATTCATAAAAAAAATGGTGCTGCTTATTGTATTAATTCCTAAAAATCATATATTAATTTTAGAATAAAAAACATAAATAAAAATGTAAATTTTTTACCTATCCCGGCCCGTGAGCTACATCTGGCCGCCCTACTACGCTGGTCGGGGGCTTTTTGATAGCGTTTTACTTTTTTCATTCATTTTTTGAGGCCATTTTTCTCTAGCGTGCCTAGAAAAATGTAAGAATCATGTCTACAAAATTTCATTATTCTATTACGTCATTTTTATTTTTTTTTTGATTTTTTAAAGATGAAAAATAAAGAAAATCATATAAAATAGACTATTCATCAAAAAATAGTGCGGGCCAGGGGCTTTTTGACAGCGTTTCACTTTTTCTTTGTCATGTTTTGAGGCCATTTTTTTCTGACATGTCTAGAAAAATGTAAGGATCATCTCCTCAAAATTTTATTATTTTTGGACGTCGTTTTTTATTTTATTATATTTTTTAAAGACGAAAAATAAAGAAAATAAAAAAATAGAATATTCATTTGAAAGTGGTGCCGCTTGTTACATTAATAACTAAAAATCATATATTAACTTTAGAATGCAAAACATAACTAAAAATGTAAATTTTTTACCCATCCCGGCCCCTGAGCTTGCCTCTGGGCGACCCACTATGCGGGCCAGGGGCTATTTGACAGCGTTTTATTTTATTTTTTGTTATATTTTGGGGCAATTTTTTTTCTGGAATCCCTAGAAAAATATAAGGATCGTGTGTACGAAATTTCACTATTTTGTTACGTCAATTTTATTTTATTATATTTTTTAAAGACAAAAAATAGAGAAAATCATAAAAAAAATAGAATTTTAATCAAAAAATGGTGCCGCTTGTTGCATTAATTCATAAAAATTATATATTAAATTTAGAATGTAAAAGATAAATAAAAATGTAAGTTTTTGACCCATCCCGGCCCCTGAGTTGGCCTCTGGGCGTCCCACTGCGCGAGTCGGGGGCTTTTTCACAGCGTTTCACTTTTTTTTGTCATGTTTTGAGGCCATTTTTTCTGACATGCCTAGAAAAATGTAACGATCATGTCTATAAAAGTTCATTATTTTTTCATGTCATTTTTCTTTTATTATATTTTTTAAAGACGAAAAATAAAGAAAACAAAAAAAAATAAAATATTCATCAAAAAATGATTCCGCTTATTGCCTTAAATCCTAAAAATCTTGTTTAATTTTAAAATATAAAATATAAATAAAAATGTAAATTTTTGACCCGTCATGACCCCCAAGTTGGTCCCTGGGCGCCCTAGTATACGAGCCGGGGTCTTTTTGATAGCGTTTTACCTTTTTTGTCATTTTCTGAGTCCATTTTTTTCTGGCATGCCTACAAAATGTAAGGATCGTGTTTACAAAATTTCATTATTTTTTTACGTCTTTTTTATTTTATTATATTTTCTAAATACGAAAAATAAAGAAAATCATAAAAAATAGAATATTCATCAAAAAATGGTGCCGCTTGTTGTATGAATTCCTAAAAATTATATATTAATTTTAGAATACAAAACATAAATAAAAATGTAAATTATTCACCCGTCTCGGCCCCTGAGCTAGCCCCTAGGCGACCTACTACGCTGGTTGGGGGTTTTTTGACAACGTTTTACTTTATATTGTCATTTTTTAAGGCAATTATTTTCTGGCATCCCTAGAAAAATATAAGGATCACGTATTTCTCTAGCATGCCAAGAAAAATGTAAGGATCGTGTTTGCAAAATTTCAATATTTTTTAACGTCGTTTTTATTTTATTATATTTTTTAAAGACGAAAAATAAAGAAAATCATAAAAAAATAGAATATTAATCAGAAAATGGTGGCACTTGTTGCATTAATTGCTAAAAATCATATCTTAATTTTGGAATACAAAATGTAAATAAAAATATAAATTTTTGACCCATCCTGGCCCCTGAGCTGGCCCATGGGCTCCCCACTACGCGGGTCGGGAGCTTTTTGACAGCATTTTACCTTTTTTGTCATTTTTTGAGTCCATTTTTTTTGGCATGCCTAGAAAAATGCACAGATCATGTCTACAAAATTTCATAATATTATGACGTCGTTTTGATTTTATTATGTTTTTTAAAGATGAAAAATAAATAAAACCATAAAAAAGATAATAGTCATAGACCGCTTATTGCATTAATTCCTAAAAATCATATATTAATTTTAGAATGCAAAAGATAAATAAAAATATAAAATTTTGACCCATCTCGGCCCCTAAGCTAGCCCCTGGACGCCCCACTACGCGGGTCAAGCAACATTTCAGTTTTTTTTTTCATGTTTTGAGGCCAATTTTTTCTGCCATACCTAGAAAAATATAAGGATCGTTTTTGCAAAATTTCATTATTTTTTGACGTTGTTTTTATTTTATTATGTTTTCTAAAGACGAAAAATAAAGAAAATCACAAAAAATAGAATATTCATCAAAAAATGGTGCCACTTGTAGCATTAATTCCTAAAAAGGATATATTAATTTGAGAGTCTAAAACATAAATAAAAATGTAAATTTTTTACCCATCTCAGGCCTTGAGCTGGCCCCTGGGCGCCCCACCACGCAGGCTAAGGGTTTTTTGACAGTGTTTTACTTTTTTTGTCATTTTTTGAGGCCATTTTTTTCTGGCATGTCGAGAAAAATGTAAGGATCGTGTCTACAAGATTTGATTATTTTTTGACGTCGTTTTTATTTTATTATATTTTTTAAAGATGACAAATAAAGAAAATTAGAAAAAATAGAATATTCCTCAAAAAATGGTGCCGCTTGTTGCATTAATTCCTAAAAATCATATATTAATTTTAGAATGTAAAACATAAATAAAAATGTAAATTTTTGACCCATCCATGTCCCTGAGCTGGCCCCTGGGCGCCCCAGTACGCAGGTCGGGGGCTTTTTGATAGCGTTTTACTTTTTTTTGTCATTTTTTGGGGCCATTTTTTCTGGCAGGCCTAAAAAAATGTAAGAATCGTGTCTACAAAATTTCATTATTTTTTTATGTCATTTTTATTTTATTATATATTTTAAAGACGAAAAATAAAGAAAATCATAAAAAGTAGAATTATCAAAAAATGGTGCCGCTTGTTGCATTTGTGCGTTTTTTTTGTCATTTTTTGCAGGCATGTCCAAAAAAATATAAAGATCGTGTATGTAAAGTTTCATAATTTTGTGACGTCGTTTTTATTTTATTTTATTTTTTAAAGACAAAAAAAAATCATAAAAAATAAAATATTGATAAAAAAAATGGTGTCACTTGTTGCATTAATTCTGAAAAATCGTGTATTGCCCGTGAGTTTGTGCAAGTGTGACACATTAGATCCAAACTTAAAAATCCAAAAACAAAAACAAAAGTCCTGCGTTTTAAACTGAACCAAGAGTTATCATAATAATAAAAGATCGACGGTTGGCATAATTAGTAACTTTCTTTATGATAATTTTTCTACACCATCAAAGTCTTATTGCAATTAAAGGGCAGAAAAAGTCACACCAACCTTTAAAATAAAAACAACAATTAATTAGACCGACAAGTGCATGATAGCATGAAAATGTGGTCATTACGCATTTCTTCAATGGGTAGGACCTATCGTATTTAAAAAGAGGTTAGTGATAGTGTTAGCTAGGAGTGGCATGTTAATGGGTCGTATTCGTGTCAACTTATTTATTAATCGTATTAGAAAATATCAATTCAAATATGACATGTTTATTAAATGTGTTAAACATGTCAATCCAAACGCGACTCATTTATTAATCGTATTAATCATGTCAACCCATATAACCTGTTTAAATTAATATATTGAATAAATAACTAATACAATAATAACTTATTTAACACGGTCATGACAGGTTTAACATGTTTATTGGTCAATTTATCTTTTCCTTTAAAAAATAAATGAATTTTACCTATAAATATTAAAATCACATTATTTGTATTTAATATGTCATATAAACTTTCAAGTTAAATCGCACATCATTAGATTGCAGATGACACATATAATTAATCGTGTCAATTCGTGTCATTTCGTATTATGAGGTCAACCCTAACCCAATCCATTTATTACTCGTCTTAATTGTGTCAACTAGATTATGAGTCAAATTCATTTATAGTAAACTCAAATCCATTAATTTCGTGTGAATTTTAAGTCGTGACGTACCTAGATTACCAACCTAGTGTTAGCAATATTGCACTTGAGTCTCTATATTTTAATTTTGACAATTACTGTGTGAGTTTTTGCTTTTTAAAAGTTCTAGTTATTAATGTAGATAATTATCACATTATAACTGATTTTTATAAAATTAATTATAGTAAGTGTAAAACGTTTTAGTTTTTCAATGGAATTTTATAACAATAAAGAGATCATACAGCGTATGTAATTATTTTTCGTAAAATTTTAAATTATTAAGTGATGGACACCTCATAACTTATGTAAATTTTAAAGATCATCGTTAATCTTATTGTCGTTAACCAAAACTCCATATATAAAAGAAGAAGAAAAAACAATTGCTCAAGAAGCAATATCACAACGAAATTAAAAATTAAAGACAAGTGTTGACTACACTCATAATAAAGGGATTTTTGCCGAGATGTAATAATAAAAAATAAGTGGGACCTATGGCTTGGTCCACGCTTTTATAATAAAACCCTCCAAAGTCCAAACCTTCCTTGTTTCGTTAACAGTTATATAGTGCACACACTTGCTATATAGTGCACACACTTGCTCCTCTATAGCCTTATCTCTAATTCTCTGTTCCCAATTCTCTCTCACACAAAGTCACGTGTATATGTAACAAAGTCCACAGAAAGAAAAAGACTAATTGGAAAATTTTACTCACAAACACAAACTGACGGGGCGTTAGACTCACAGATAGACAGACAATTTCGACATTATTCATCTCTCTCTCTCTCTCTCTCTCTCTATCTATCTATCTATCTATCTATCTATAGTTCTTTCTCTCTCTCTCTCTCTCTCTAAAAACCTGAATCGGTTCGACCATGGCTGCAGCGTGCGTCCTTGACACGGCACGAGCCCTGGCGTGCCGAGACGGAGAGGCGGCGTCACGGCTGAAGCTCGTCTCGATCTTCGTGATCTTCTTCACCAGCGTCATCGGGATATCTTCTCCGGTGCTCTTAGCCCGCTACTTCCAGGGAAAACCGGCCTACGACAAGGCGGTGCTCATAATCAAGTGCTTCGCGGCGGGGGTGATCCTCTCCACCTCCCTCGTCCACGTGTTACCGGACGCCTTCGCGGCTCTCTCCGACTGCCACGTGGCGTCGCGCCACCCCTGGAGGGACTTCCCCTTCGCCGGACTTGTGACGCTGATCGGAGCAGTCACGGCTCTCCTCGTCGACGTCACCGCCACCTCACACGTGGAGCTCCACGGCCACGGCAGTGGCGGCGAGGAAGGGAAGTACGAGGTGGTGGGGACGAAGGAGGAGTTGAAGGAGACGAAGAAGTCGGGTGAGTCGAGGTTCGAGTCGGCTGAGTTGGGCGCGAGTCATGGTCATGATCATGATCATCAGGAGAGTGAAGATCAGGAGATTCTGGTGAAGCTGAAGCAGAGGCTGGTGAGTCAGGTTTTGGAAATTGGGATAATATTCCATTCGGTAATTATAGGACTGACGATGGGGATGTCTCAGAATCAGTGCACCATTAGGCCTCTTGTTGCTGCTCTCGCTTTTCACCAGATTTTTGAGGGATTGGGTCTCGGTGGTTGCATTGCTCAGGTACACAATTTTTTTTTTTTTTTTTTTTTTTTGGTGCTATAATGAGTATGGGGATAATTAATTAATAAGATAAGGTTAGGATGGGAAAGGAAGTAGTATTTGGATTTGAGTCGTGTTGATAGGATAGCCACTCCTTTTTAGGGATCAATTTGACTACTCGTTGTTCTTTAACATGCCTCGTTAATTATATCTTCCATAAGATTTGGTATGGTATAGAACTTGATAGTTGTATTAATTAGGTGGGAATTTAAGTTGATCTTTAGAAGGGGCGTTATGAATACTGAATAGCTATATATGCTCTTGAAATTAGATAAATTCCAACTACTATAAAATTGAGGTTTATTTGCAAGTGTGGTGGTGTGTTATTTTTTTTTTTTTTTTTTTTTGGGGTGCCATTAAGGATTGCACTACTCTAATGGAGTTTGAAATAATAAAGAATAAAAAGGCTTTTCTAGGGCCCTTTAAATAGTGTAATCAGCCTTTTGAAGCGCCAACAGTGCTAGCTTGAGAAGACTGGCCTTCTTTTTGTCCCTCGGATTGATGTATTTAGAAGACGTTTGGTTCATGGATTAGAATCATGTGATTAAAATTATTTTTGATTTACGTGTATTTTTATGAGAGAAAATACTATAGCGAACCATGAATCATGATTCAAATTATGGTTTGAATCCTCCAACCAAACCTCCCTCATTATACCACTTTATCCTACATGCTTAGTTTGATTGGTGTAAAGTAATTATATTGATCATCAGTGTTATGATTTGTGCTTGATGATCAATGTTGAACTGTTACTCAATGGATGGGAGCGTACGTATGTAGAGCGTATGTATAGCAACTAAAAATCTTAGAACTGATCTTCTGTGGGTACATACTAGTAAACTACAAAGTATTGAAGGATAAGGAGGTAAATAGCATAATTGATAAAATGATTAGTAAATTATAACATATTTTTTAAAAATAGTAGATTATAGTATAATTTGATATTTTAAGTTTTAAACATTATTAAAAACCCAAAAATACCCATAAATCTCATTTTTCACCTCACTCATCCCCCTAAACATCTATTTTTTTAAAAAATAATAAATTATAGCATATTTTTTAAAATAGGTAAATTATAGTCAAGTCCACCATAGCCGAGACCCGCGGCTAGCTCTAGCGACTGGAGACTATTTTCTGGTAACTTGTGACCATTTTGATACGTTTTCAGGGTATTTTTGTCTTTTGAATTTAAAAAAAGACACATGATGGTCACATGTGAGATTCTGTAATAAATTTAACAAATTTGGACGAAAATGACTTAATTGCACCAATTTAATGACGTTAGGGATCATTTTATCAAAATTAAAAAAATAAGGTCCAAATTATCACCTACTAAAGAGGCTTTGGTTAGGGACTTTCTGTGCCAATTATCTTTTTTTTTTTTTTTAAATCTTATCTTATTGGTTTTTTATTTTATTTTGTTAAAGATAATTGATTACTAAAATACCCTTCTAATTGGTTTTATCAGTTAAATCATCTTCCATTAATTTGTATATTCATCTTTTATGGCCACGTATGCATTTTCCATCCAAGTGATACACGGACGTGGATAGAGGGGATAACTTGATCTGTTTTCTATATATCAAGGAACGTTTTGAAACCCTTTTAAGAAATCAGGGGCCATTTCAAAAGAAGGTAAATACAGCACATGCCATATGAATGCTTTTGAGCGGAAATGCATTAATTTATAAAGAACAATCCAATTGCTCTTGGAATAATGAAAGCTAACTAGAGTAAAGTTTTAGGCAAGATATGGTTAAAAAATGAAGGCAAAACGAATATAAATAACACAAATGAAAATAAAAACTTTTGATTAACAAGCAATTGAAAGAATAATTAGCTATAAACAAGTAGTCATTAACTAGCTGTTTAGATACTTGGCGTGTCAAAATAAAACAAACTAATTAGTTTGAGTACGTACAAATCTAATCTCATCCAATTAATTACTATCATCAACTTCTAATGCAATGAATGAACAGAAATCAATAGTAATCAGTTAACATTAAACTTAATTAGTTGTGCTCTTTCTGTACTTGTATCTTTGGCAAATTGTTAAAAATATTATTGTGCATAACATAATAGTAACTTTTAATCTATGTGTGTGGTGCAGGCTGGATTTAGATTGGGAACGACAGCGTATATGTGTTTCATGTTTGCAGTGACGACACCAATGGGGATAGTACTTGGGATGATCTTGTTCTCAGCCACAGGCTACGACGACAGCAGCCCTAATGCCTTGATTATGGAAGGATTGTTGGGTTCATTCTCGTCGGGAATTCTAATATATATGGCTCTTGTTGATCTTGTAGCTCTTGATTTCTTCCACAACAAATTGATGGGTTCCGCTTCATGGTTGAAAAAGGCTTCCTTTGTTGCTCTTGTTCTTGGCTCTACCTCAATGTCTATTCTAGCTCTTTGGGCTTAAACCAATCCCTTTTTTAATAGACATATAACACCCCAAAAAAAAAATCACATGGCAGTTTTCCTGGGTGTGAATCATAAAATTTTAATAGCAATATGATGATCACAAATCCTTCATATATGTTAGTATTATCTAATGTTAAAAGCGGAGAAACGAAAGGTGCAAAACAGTCAAATTATGCTTTGAAAGAAAAAAATAATAATAATATTTGCGAAGACCATATCCGGATTAGGGGAAGTTAATTTTATAATTTTCCGCCATGACTATTAAGAAGGAAGTCGTGTGTTTTTCTTTTTTCTTTTTTTTTTTCGTCGAGATTATAACAGTTGGATTGACAAAATCAAAACACTTGGGTGACTTATTTAATTTACCTTAAATATGATATTTATTCAATGCATGTCTATATTAATGGTTTGGAATGGTTTACGAGCTAAAAAGTGAATCCCCTCCTGATCTCGAAATGACGTGGTCTCTACACTCTGCTACCCACAATGGATCAAACAGAACGGATTTCCGATATTAGTTAATTTCGTGAAATTAGGATTGGACGTACAACGTTATTCTTATGCAGAGTTACAGACGATAAACAAATTACAAGAACTATATAATTTGTTCCCTTTAACTGTTGTAAATTTTAAACGGAAGTTTTCTAAAATAAATCCTACAAAGTAAAATTAGCAAAATGATGATTGTCATTTTTACACTAAACGACTATTCCTACCGTGTATTATGAGAAAACGATTGCTGTGCAGTCGTTCCAAAGTTATTTTGAAATTAATATTTTTCTAAAGTTATTTTACGATGAAGCATCGAAGTCAATTTTGAAAGAGAAGGTTTATGATATGAAATATGAAAAATTATAAATGGTGAGACAATAATTCAATTAGGAAGGTCCCATTATAGTTTCATTTTTAGCTTTCACATATTAACTGACGTGCACGACTACGTTGATTGGACCCAGCATCCGTGTTTTATTTTGGTTCTTCTTACTTTTCTAAATAAGTGCTCTATTTTGGTGTTTTTTTTTTTAATTATTTTTTTCCGGTAAGCAAGTGCTGGATTTGTTGTTGTACTTGTGATAATGTAGATCAGTGCCCTCAGCAATTTGTTTGTCTTTATTGGTACTTTTTTTTTTTTCCCTCTCAACGTCTAGGTCTAGCCTGCACTGTGTGTATCTTACATTGTACAAGTACTGTTCTAGTTTGTGTGCTCTATGTCATCTCCAATTTCCTACATTAACAAAGGTGAGGAAACTGAAATGCGTATACAATCAGCACAACATAATTAAAAAGTTGAGACTGATGGATTTTCTCAGTGGATCAATCGGCAGAGTCCTTTAGTGCTAATCAGCTTTTAAAATTTCTTCTTTCTATCTTGAGTTCCTTTTTCCTTTTTGCAATGTCTTCGGTTTTCTCTCTCTCTCTCTCTTCCAATTTTTCAAGTTTTGATTTGTCATGATATTATTTAGAATAAATATTTATATGTCGAAATTTAATACATAAGCTGGTCCCGTAGCTCAGTTGGTTAGAGCGTTGGTCTTATGAGCCGAAGGTCGCGGGTTCGAGCCCCGCCGGGACCAATTCGTTTTCCCGTGCCATGACTGCCAGTTCTGGTTTGGATGGTTGTGCCCTGAGAACGCTCTTTCTTGTTTGTTTGGTTTTTTGCTTTTTTTCCTTTTTTTTTACCCCCTACAATGCGAAAACGTACACAGGTGAACTGGGAGTAAGAAGTTACCAAGGGTTTTCTCTTTTCTCTATTTGCTTTTTAACTTGGTCTGAGGCTTGTTGTTACCATCACCTGACTGGATAAATCTCATAAATTTCTCAACCCCTTGCAGGCACAGGAACCTCCACATCCTCTTTAAATAAATAAATAAATAAAACAAACAAACAAATAAACAAACAAACAAAAGAACAAACCATAACTTGGTCATGGCGTCCCAAGAGTCACATGCGCTTTTTAGTTTGACTGGCATTGCTTTGAGTTTAACTAACCACTATGATCATGATCATCCACTCTCCAGTCATCATCATCGCGTCTGTTGCGCTCGGCACATCGACCAGTATTAATACGACAACCGGATCCACAAAAACCGAAACTATATATACTAATACGTGCAACTAGATGTACGTGTGCTAATTCAGAGAAAGATAATTCAGAGAAAGATAACTGTTGTGTAGGAAAATCTAGGTGACATGTGAGATAGCGACAGCGTTACACGTGACCCTGCTTCTCCTCACAAAGCGACAACTCTCGACGCCTGAAGCTCACTTCGATAGCGACAGCGTTACACGTGGCCCTACTTCTCCTCACAAAGCAACAACCCTCGACGCCTGAAGCTCACTTTCCCTTTACGCTGCGAAGAAAGCCCGCCTTAGGGCGTCGACCCATTATGCCGTCGACCCTATGACTTGTGCAAATTCCCTACGCCACAGAAGGATCGGCGGCCAGAAGAGGCCACCGCCCGCTCAGCGTAGACGTTGAGGGAAGAGCATGGGAGGCGACGCCCGTATCTCCAGAAAGGTGTCTAACACAACCAACTTGTGTCTGGCACTGGGAGATGTCTGCAGTGCAGGCATTAATTACAAGCCCATAAACTGTCCAACAATGAACGGTGGAGGGTTACAAGGAGTCTACAGTGCCGTAATGGAAGACTAATTGGATAAGTGTACAGTTTAAAAGGTGATTAGTGGGTTACAGTCAGCCTATGAAGGGAGGCCACTCGAGTGCTTCTGCCTACGAGAGGAACCGCCCACGAAGGAACCCTTGGCTATAAAGGGGGCAAAGCCCCAAACGAGAAGAGGGGGGATTTTTCCTTTGAGTTTGGCTCATTTCATATTCAACCCGAGAGTAGAAAGGGAGAGTTATTGTAAAGAATCCAAAAGAAATACAAAAAAAAAGTTGATGTAGTTCTTCATTAATAGAGTGAACCACTATAAATCTTGTGCCTTTATTTCCATACAAGCACAGTCCTCCCATTATATTTATCATGAACTTCATACGCGCTTTACTACATCATTTTCAATATTAAATAAACGCTTTTTAGCCGGTAACCTGACATGATACCTAAAGGTGACCCAGCGTAATCCTGTTAACAAAATTTCACCGTCAACAATATCTATCATACATATGTATGTTGCAACCTCATGATCATCCAATAATTAGGGGGAAAATCAAATGCTAATAATTAGACAACAACTTTTGTGTTTGATTTCAAATATTGTAGTCCTTTTGCGTATTCATGTCTTTGTATTATTAAGCATAACTAATCAATTACTCATGTCTTAATCTTATTGTTAATTAAGTATAACTAATCACTTGTGTACAAAGAACAGTGTCCACATTCGCACTGTCATTCTAATTGCCATAGCTCTCTCGTTGAAGGCATAGTTCGGACTTCGGCCACACAAAACAAAGGTTTGCTTTTACAATCTAATATGCCTAATAATTGAACGGGAAAATGTATAATAGTAGACATAATGAGATAATGTCAAGATCGGAAGTTTACAATTACTAAGGTGAGAGTAATTCTGTTTTAAACAGTAAGATACGTATTAAATTATGTCAATTTTACATATTTTTTTTATTATAATGAGATTTTATCATATCTAACGCTTAAAAAACATGCATTGCTGATCAATAAGACGTTTATGTAAATTTTGGAAAAGCTAATGACGTACAATTTTTACACGAGTCCAAATTATTTATATGAATTGGATTTGGTGGGAGTTACCGCCACATGACTAGCAGTAAGTGACTACAGGAAGTATTGTTAATACTAGCTAGTCGCCTCTATTCAGACTAAATTTGTATTTTACCGAGTTGAAACTGTAATCATATTTTAGCGTATTAATATTGTAATTAGCATACTTGTCCTATATATTAACATTGTAGTTAGTTGTCATAGTAGATCGACCCCAGAAAAACAACTGTCCAGTCTATTAGTAAAATATTAAAAACATGCTTGAGAGGTTATAATCATGATATGCATTCTTTTCCCTTATCTTGATTTTTTTTTTTTTGGGATAAATTCCCCTTTTTGATTTTTTTTTTTTTTTTGACTTTCTTGATGTTAAATGTACGAATAACACTGCCAAACTGTTCAGAGCTTAACTCATGACAGATCCATGCAAGGCAAATTAAAAAATATATAGGAAACTGTGACTAGGTTTTCCGTTCCTGATTTTATTGCCAAATTTTTGTTGGGTTACTTTTCTGTCTTGGTTAAAAAAAAAAAAGACCCTTAAATCGTGATCAGTCTACAGAGTAAGGACACTTCACAGAATTGAATGCACCACAGCACGGCAGCACCAGATCCGGCCAAGGATCTCTCATTAAATGTAATGTCCACCATTATCAGAAGTGTCTTGACCGTTCTGCCTCACATAAATAACGCAAAAGGCTTCCAAAACATTGACCAGGAAACATGGAATACTGTACATGAGCTTCTGTCCTTGTCACTAGCCTCAATTGGTTTTTAACTCATTTGGTCCGGGAATTACTATGCATGACAATTTTGGTTTCCATTTTATTTTTCTTTTTCTGATAAAGCTCCCCAACTCTTAAACACATAACTTACTATTTAGATGTAGGTATTACTTCCAAATGAAATTAAAAAATATGCAATATGGGTGGGAATTTGTTCCTCTCTTCATTATGAACACATGAAAAAAATCATCTCAGTTAGAATTAAAACGAAGAAATTATGACATTTTTAAGATTGAAATTGAAGAGAGAGAAAAAGTATGATCTGAAACTATTGAACTGTTGACAACAATTCTGATTGTTGGAATTTTAGGGGGGTGAATTCTAAAAATCAAGGGTTTGAACCATTGTTAATGGTTTGAATGTCCTTCAATTTTCCTCCCAAACACCAATTTTAATCCTAAATTTAGATTTGAATCCTAACTAACAGTTTGAGTTGTTGAAACAAACAGAGTATAAATTTCTTAGCATTATGGTTGCATATTATCATTGTTAGTGTTATGTTGAATAAATGTGACGTCGTATGTTTTTCATTTCTATATGCTCCATGGGAGTTTGAGAGGATTATCGCAAAAGCTTAATATATGTAAAATATAGGGGAAAAAAAAGAGGTAACCTTGAAAAAATAAAAACTATGAAAAAGAACGGAGACCTCTTTAAAGTTGTTGATTTTTGGATGAAAAAAAAGTTGTTGATTAGTTTAAAAAAAAAAAAAGTTTATTTATGTTTTAGTCCTTTTGATGCAAATATCACATAATGGACACGCAACAATATTTTCAACAGTTCGTAGAGCTTTTTCAAAAGACAAAGAAAGGGAATCATCTACATAAGTTCGGGAACCAAATGAGCTAAACCCTGCCTCACCAAATATAGGCAATACAACACAATTGCGTTGAGAGAAATCTAGTAGAAGAGAAGCCTATGTATTACAAAGAAAGAAAGAAAAAAAAGAAACAGTAAGATACGTATTAAATTATGTCAATTTTACATATTTTTTTTATTATAATGAGATTTTATCATATCTAACGCTTAAAAAACATGCATTGCTGATCAATAAGACGTTTATGTAAATTTTAGAAAAGCTAATGACGTACAATTTTTACACGAGTCCAAATTATTTATATGAATTGGATTTGGTGGGAGTTACCGCCACATGACTAGTTTAGGTAAACAGTTAAGTTTGTTGTCATATTAATATTGTCATTTGTACTTGCCCCATTTATCATGCTACTAATGAATGGTAGCTTAGCAGTAAGTGACTACAGGAAGTATTGTTAATACTAGCTAGTCGCCTCTATTCAGACTAAATTTGTATTTTACCGAGTTGAAACTGTAATCATATTTTAGCGTATTAATATTGTAATTAGCATACTTGTCCTATATATTAACATTGTAGTTAGTTGTCATAGTAGATCGACCCCAGAAAAACAACTGTCCAGTCTATTAGTAAAATATTAAAAACATGCTTGAGAGGTTATAATCATGATATGCTTTACCCTTATCTTGATTTTTTTTTTTTTGGGATAAATTCCCCTTTTTGATTTTTTTTTTTTTTTTGACTTTCTTGATGTTAAATGTACGAATAACACTGCCAAACTGTTCAGAGCTTAACTCATGACAGATCCATGCAAGGCAAATTAAAAAATATATAGGAAACTGTGACTAGGTTTTCCGTTCCTGATTTTATTGCCAAATTTTTGTTGGGTTACTTTTCTGTCTTGGTTAAAAAAAAAAAAATGACCCTTAAATCGTGATCAGTCTACAGAGTAAGGACACTTCACAGAATTGAATGCACCGCAGCACGGCAGCACCAGATCCGGCCAAGGATCTCTCATTAAATGTGGAGCACGTAAATGTCCACCATTATCAGAAGTGTCTTGACCGTTCTGCCTCACATAAATAACGCAAAAGGCTTCCAAAACATTGACCAGGAAACATGGAATACTGTACATGAGCTTCTGTCCTTGTCACTAGCCTCAATTGGTTTTTAACTCATTTGGTCCGGGAATTACTATGCATGACAATTTTGGTTTCCATTTTATTTTTCTTTTTCTGATAAAGCTCCCCAACCCTTAAACACATAACTTACTATTTAGATGTAGGTATATACCAAAATCATATTACTTCCAAAAGAAATTAAAAATAATGTATGTATATAAAGTTTGTCTACGATACTCCCAAGGACTATATTTTCCACGTAACATATAGAAATAAAAAATATAACATGTCATTTATAAAATTAAACAATGGCATTTGAGGTTTAAGGGCCTATTTAGATTGGCTTAAAAAAGCTGTTTTTAGCTTATTTAGTTTAAAAGTTACTTTTGAACCTATTTAGATGGAAAATCTTAAAATACTTTTGGTTTCTTAAGCACTTTTAGAACAAGCTATCTCCTTAGTGCTTATGAAAAAAGTGCTTATGAAAAGTTTTTTATTTACATTTTTAACTTTTTATTTGTGAACAAATTAAATATTTCATTCATATCCTTATATTACATTACTTTTTATAACAATAAGTGTTTTAAACTTTTTTACCCAAACAGGTTCAAAAGCTCTTCTTAGATATAAAAGCATTTTTTCAAGCATTATCCAAACACTAATAAAAAAACCCCAACTTATGCTTATCTTTTTCTACTACTTAAAAGCGCAAGCACAAGCTATCCCAAAGGGGCCCTAATAGGAGTGTTGGATCACTAAGGGCTTGTTTGGTTCAACAACTCAAACTGTCAAGATTTGAACCTTTTTTTGTTAAAATTGTATAATCTAAACTGTGGTGATTTTAATTGTAATTCGAATCGGTGTTTGGATGTGTAAATAAATTATAATTTAAATTGGGAATAAAATCAAAACTGTGTTTGGATAAAGTGTTAAAAATTGTCATTAGAGTTTTATAATAAATCTTATAAAACCTCATTATAAATGAAATTAAAAAATATGCAATATGGGTGGGAATTTGTTCCTCTCTTCATTATGAACACATGAAAAAAATCATCTCAGTTACAATTAAAACGAAGAAATTATGACATTTTTAAGATTGAAATTGAAGAGAGAGAAAAAGTATGATCTGAAACTATTGAACTGTTGACAACAATTCTGATTGTTGGAATTTTAGGGGGGTGAATTCTAAAAATCAAGGGTTTGAACCATTGTTAATGGTTTGAATGTCCTTCAATTTTCCTCCCAAACACCAATTTTAATCCTAAATTTAGATTTGAATCCTAACTAACAGTTTGAGTTGTTGAAACAAACAGAGCATAAATTTCTTAGCATTCCGGTTGCATATTATCACTGTTAGTGTTATGTTGAATAAATGTGACGTCGAATGTTTTTCATTTCTATATGCTCCATGGGAGTTTGAGAGGATTATCGCAAAAGCTTAATATATGTAAAATATAGGGAAAAAAAAAAGAGGTAACCTTGAAAAAATAAAAACTATGAAAAAGAACGGAGACCTCTTTAAAGTTGTTGATTTTTGGATGAAAAAAAAGTTGTTGATTAGTTTAAAAAAAAAAAAAGTTTATTTATGTTTTAGTCCTTTTGATGCAAATATCACATAATGGACACGCAACAATATTTTCAACAGTTCGTAGAGCTTTTTCAAAAGACAAAGAAAGGGAATCATCTACATAAGTTCGGGAACCAAATGAGCTAAAACCTGCCTCACCAAATATAGGCAATACAACACAATTGCGTTGAGAGAAATCTAGTAGAAGAGACTACAAGCGGAGCCTATGTATTACAAAGAAAGAAAGAAAAAAAAAGATAAAACTCATTATTCGATCATCACTATTTTTAAATTGATATCGAATTATATTGTTTTACTACAAAAACTTAGCAATTAATTACCACGATGTATTTGATCCAAAAAAAAAAAAAAAAAACGCGATATAACTAAAGTTACGAATAATGTTACTCGACTGTCATACACTGTTTCTCTATTCAACAATTGCTAATTTATGTTTGTATGTACAGTTCATTTATAGTTCTTGCATAATTGGTCACCCCAGTGCAATTGGGACCAATACCCCCACAAAAGGGTCCCTTACCCTTTATTCAATGCTGAATTGCTGACGGCTCCATATGCAATATGCATGGTTTTGGCTGATTGACTGTTGACTCTCAACCAACATAACATAACATTGCCATAGTTTGCTTAGTTTGCCATTTCTTTTGGGGCAGCTCTAGATCACGTATTATCTCATAAACAAATTACAGATTTTGATTTTTACACTTTAAAATCTGAAAGTTGAAATTATCAAACGTATAGATCTAATTAAGGTAATTGCACTTCAAATTAGTTGGCCATGTTTAGTAATATCATCTAAAGCTAAGTTAGATACTGGTCTAATCTTGATACAAGAGTGGAAAAGGAAAAAAAACATTAAAAAAAAAAGCCATTTCCAGAAAGAGGCACTGATCTAGACATTCACATTAACAAAAGTTGTAGCAAACAAATCACTACCTATACAAAAATCATTTTGGTTTACAAAAGCAGGAGGCGTATAAGCAAACTCAGAGACCAACAAATCTCTCCTCTCTGTCTTTCTTTTCTCTCTTTTTTTTTTTTTTTTTTTACTTTTTTAATTTTTTTTTTAACCTCAAGCTGCTAACTCACTCACTCGACGCCGGAAAGACCTTGTTCTCCGACCAGTTTTTGCTCAGCATTCTCTTCAACGAACACCCAAACGACGACGGCGATGAAGACGACGAACATGAATCACTCCCCACAGAACTCTCACCATTATCACCAGAGCTCGAAACATCAAGTACCGTAACCGAATCGCCGTCGCCGGCAACAGCATCGGCCGCCGTCCCATCCCCGGCGAAGGAAATAACCTCGGAAACTACCGGAGCTCTGCAAATCGGGCAATTGGAGTGCGATCCAAGCCACATGTCGACACACTCCCTGTGAAATTCGTGACCGCATTTTGGGAGGCGCCTCCCGACCTCGCCGTCGTCGAATCCGCTGAGACAGATGACGCACTCGAGCCCGGCTTTTTCACCGCCGTAGACGAAGAGCGGGATGGCCGATATGGCGGAAGCGTCCAGGCCTTTGGAATTAGCGGGGGCAGTAGAGAGAGAGGCGAGGTCGATAACGAACGATGAGGGTGGGAGATTGTTGAAGCGGGCCGGGCTGAGGACGCGGGAGACGGCGACGGAGGTGCTGCGGTGGCGACGGTGGGCCTGGGTGTGGGCCTGGGCCAGGAACCACTTGGCGTAGACGTGGAGGAGCAGCACGAAGAGGATGACGAAGAGGAGGGAGATGAGGGCTGCCAACATGACGTTGCTGTCGTAAGCGAAGATGCTCTCCACCAGGTGACTCACCCGGTGGTGCTGAGTCAGCGACTCGTCGGAGCTCGACGACATTGTTTGAAGTCCTTTTTTATTATTATTATTATTTTGGTGTGAGTTGGTAAATGTTTGAGCAGGAGAATGGAGTACTTGAATAAGAAGAAAGTTTACGTGAGATTGAAGTCTTTATTACGGGTCTTCGTGTTCTTCTCCCAGCATTTGCGTGTTTAGGTCAGCTGATCTCTCACTCTATATAATTATTTAATATATATAATAGTATATAGTTTTATGATGGTACTATATATAATGTTATGATAATGGTATGATAAGTCTAGACGCAGAAGTCAAAGGAGGATCCCGTTATCCAAGGAGGGGGTGGAGTGGGTAAAAGAGAAGAGAAATCAGAATAGAAGAGACGGGAGAAGGAAAGAAGGGGCATGCAATTACAATTACAAGGCAGAAATAAAGAGAGAGAGGCAGAGGCTCAAAATGAAGGACTCGTGAAGGCGACGGCAGATGAAGGTGAGGTGGGTTATTGTTGTCATGTGCCATTTGTTTATTGGGTTTGGTAAGTCGCGATCCCAAGAATCTAGAGATCTTTTAGAACCATTCTTTCTTTTGTCTATTCAATATATATATATATATTTAAATTGTCACCACTACTAAATTAAAGTACATTTTTTATTTGTTATATGTATATTTTTTTAAATAGTATAATGAGATAATATATTTATAATTTATCTAAACACTTATATATTTTTTAAAAAAATATATATGTATACCGAAAAAAGAAATATGTATTTAAAATATATATATATATGTACCGTTTAAACTTTACCTATATATGTATATAATTATATAAAAAAAAATTGCGTGTTTATTGCTTTATTTGTTGTTTCTTGTGTCGTGATTTAAATAGGGAGGAAAGGTGAAGGTTCTATAGTTATAGTTCTACTGTTTGTAGCCAGTGACCAACTCTTCAGGGGTCCCACGTGAAATTAATTGGCTGGCTCAGTTTGTTTATGCGAACATTTATCCTGCCCCGGCCGGTAATAGGCTAATAGCTCAACTTTAATAAAGGCTTTTCATTCTTTTTTTTTTAAATTATTTTTTTATTTGTTGTTGTTGGTTACGCAAGAGAAAGGTCCCATAATCTCAACCCAACTCTCGTGAAAGCGATCTCGTGCTCTTATAATCCGCAACTCTTGTGAAGAAAAGCTTCATCTATTTTCTTCTCATATCAAATAAGCTTTCATCTTTTGGATCATTCTTCACGCACCTTGACTTCACTTTTACAATTTCTTTTTGGTTTTTGGCATAATTGGTCCTAAAATGTTTAGTACGTGACAATTTGGTCATCATTCTTTTAATTTAATAAATACACTCGTTAGTTATTAAATAATTTGGAATTGAAGAAAATATCATTTTTTTTAATTTTCATTTTTGCTTATGCTTATTCTTTTTTTTTTTCCTTAAGGGTTTTAGATTTATTTTATGGTCAAAGCTGAACTTTGACCGAGAAAAAGGTATGAATTCGAAATAATTCAAAATAATTCAAAATGTGCAGTTATAATTGTGAAACAAAACAAAATAAAAAGGTACATCTTTTGGTCACCTCAAAATGCTTATAATTTTGAATAAAAAAACCTCTTATTATTATTTTACAGGAATAACCTAAATATCATAATGCACTTAATAAAACGTAACTGTTTAAAACTTAATGAAAATTAAGAGCCCGCTTAGTTCATAAATTAGAACCATGAGATTAAAATCATTTTCGATTTACGTGTATTTTTTATGAGAAAAAATACTATAGCGAACTATGAACCATATTTCAAATCAGAGAACGAATCCTCCAACCAAACAGATTCTAACATTCTTTTTAATGGCAAGCAATTTAACTGTTCTGTGAAGAAATGTTAGTATCACTTTTTTTATTACTCTGCATTCACTGTTTAACATGTGAATCTACTATCTTATTTTTTGTTCTTATTTTTTGTTTACATAATAATATATTAATAATAAAGTGAATCAAATTATCACTTTAATAAAAAAGTTCAAGTTTTAAAGACCGGTTGCATTACCACACTGCCTTTACAACTGTAATTGCAAATTTTATCACCCAGCAAAAGCGGAAAAATTTTCTGTCAAGTTACATTTGGTACGACATTCGCAGACCATACAGATTATATATGCTAGAGATCAAACTGGAATAGTCCCATGTGTAAAAGGATTATTCCTATGTGTAAAATGGGTTTAAATTATAGATTATGATTTTAACATTTAAAATTAAACACTGTAGTAGAATAAAAAACACTCTTGAAATAAAGGCACATGAAAATTCACACATCTAACATATTTACTTTCTTCATTTTGACGTCAGCTCGTGACCTCTGATTCTACTTAACAATGCAACGTCCAATCGTTTGACAGTCTCAGTTTTTTTTGCACAACGGTTCTTTCATATATTTCATGTATATTAGACACCAGAATCACAAAAAACGGTTCTTTCATATATATCATGTATATTAGACATCAGAATCACAAAAAACACAGGAACTTCAGATGCTAGCCATGACCAGACTAAGATAAAAGTTTAAAAGATAACTATTGGAACAAATGACAGGTAATTGGCTCGGGAGAACCTGGGAGTGGGGCACCAAAGTTATAAAAACTAAAGACAATGATGTAACTCAGTACTTGCTATTATATCTTTTTCACTTTTCTTTTGAATGGACAGCTTAAAACTGAGAAAGATTCACACAACAATAGCCACAAGTGGAATGCACAATAGACGTGCATTCCCCTCGGGAAAGTCATTTGTCTCATGAAACGACAGGAAGTGGACACTTTGAAAGAGCAATAAGATAAATAATGCATGAACAATTGGAAAACTTTTTAGATGAATGATTATTGTAGATACAGCTTGACATATTTATGTTGATGTTACATCTTTGTTAATGGAGGAAAGTCAAAAAGAATGGAAGAATTTCCAGCACTTTCAAGACTTGCAAACCAAAAACAAAATCTCGTGCTAGAGCATGTTTAGTCCATGAGTTTGTATCTTTTCTCCTGTACACCTGTAACTCCCATTTGTATCTCTATTATAGTATGAAGCGGTATCTGAAAATTAAAGAGTAGAGATGTAAGAAGCTCTTACTAAGACCGACGCTCTAAAACATGATGAATAAATTACAAGCGCAACTTACCTCAATGTGCGGAATTTCTTTCAGAGGCCTATCCGCAAAATAAGCGTACAATGCCCTCAATACTGCCTGCAAATAACAGATCAATGAGAAAAGCATAGTGCATGTCTTGAGCAAAATGTTAGAAAATTGAATAAACAAGATTGGAAAATGTGGAGACCTGGTGAGCTATCACCACAACAGGTGCTCGTTGTCGTTCGAGTTCTATAATGACGGGCTCTAGCCTGCATTTGGAGGAGGAAATTAATTCCAAATTATAATCTAGATTTTAGACGATGAATCATGACCATCAAAATGATTAGTGATAGTGGCGATATATTCAAGAACCACACAACACCAACCTTTGGATAACATCAAGATAAGATTCCCCACGAGGATACCTATACCTCAGCTTATCTTTCTTGCGTGCCCTGTAAATGATTAAAAAATAATAAAGAAAAAAATGATAAAAGTAAAAAAAAAATCCAAGAATTGACAATGGGCATGTTTACCAATTCGAAATGGATTGTAATGAAAAAGAAAAGGCTTGGAAGGAAAGAAGAGGAATGGGGAAAGGAATCAAACATTTGATGCAAGTATTTGCTTATACATGAGGGATTACAAATGAATTCCTATTTTTCAGTAAGTGGACATAAAAATGGAAAGGCCTAAGACCTCTTGGTCTAGTGGCATTTGGGGGTTTGGGTGAGGGGTTGTGGGTTCAATCCCGTGTTGTATAAAAAAAAAAATACAAATGGAAAGAAAAGAAAATACTCCTTTCATTCTCTTTCCATTCATGTCGTGCAAACATGCCCTAATGTGTTCAACTAAAAGGCTCTTTCATGTAAGAGAGAGAGAGAGAGAAACCAAACATACTCGTACTCGTCTGGCATGTTCTTCTTTATTTCTTCATATGTCATTCCATCACAGACTCCAGCATATATCTCATCCAGGGCACGCCATTGTATCTATAGAAGAAGATCCAAAATATATTTAAAAAAAACAAAAAAAAAAACCAGCTAATGCTCGACTATAATTAGGTTTCTAATCATGGCTAAGTATGTAACTTGAAAGATGGAAAATTCAAATGACACTAACACGGGCAACCACTTACCTTGGGGAATCCAGGTATGTGACTTGCTGTCAGAATTGTTCGCTGCAGTGTGCTAGTCCAAATCTAATCAAAGCAAAATCACAAACAGTTAATAGGATTTTTGAATTAAAAAACATACACAATTTGTTATTGCACTATTCGTTGTTTTAAAAATTCGAGACATTTTCCATCATTGTTTACTAGTTGAAGCCAAAACTTCATCTACTTGAGGCGCTCTCATCCACCAAGTACGTCATATCTCAAGCAAAAATGTTGAAATATTCGGTGATTAAAGGCACCAGCTGTTAGGGATTAAATTAGCATGTGAATATGAAAAGATTAGAATTAGTCAACTACTAGAAATTAGGAAAGAAATCAGTATAGGCTAATTTAGCTAGTTTCCTTTTCTGTTCCTTATTGTAATCCTATTTAAATGTATACTCTGTAAAGGTTGAATAACATATTTTTCAATTCTTCTCATTACCTACGTTTACATGGTATCAGAGCCTCCTTTGATTTCCTGAAAAACCCTAAGCCGTCTACCACCAAAAAACACCATGTCTGGTGCTACTTCTGAAATCACTCCATCATCCGTCTCCCAACCAAAGGTGTCCGAGTCCCTAATCCATCCTAACTCTAATTCAAATTCACATTCTGTCCAAATTACAACCATCCGGTTGAATGGAGATAATTTTCTGCGCTGGTCACAATCTGTACGGATGTATATCCGTGGCAGAGGTAAGATCGGGTATTTAACTAGAGACAAGGAGGAACCTTCAAGTGACGAGCCCACACACTCTGTCCGGGATGCAGAAAATGCGATGGTCATGACATGGCTGGTGAATTCCATGGAGGAGGATATAAGCTCAAACTATATGTGCTATCACACAGCCAACGATCTATAGGATAATGTCAACCAGATGTATTCGGATCTGGGAAATCAATCTCAGGTATATGAGATCACGCTGAAGCTTGGTGAAATTCGCCAAGGAGATGACAGCATTACAAAGTACTTCAATACTCTGAAGCAGCTCTGGCAGGATCTCGATCTGTTTAGTGATTATGAGTGGAAATCCCCTAAAGATGGCAACCATTACAAGAAAACTGTTGAAGATAACAGGATCTTCAAATTCCTCATTGGACTCAATGTTGAGTTCGATGAGGTTAGAGGGAGAATTATCAGTAGGAAGCCACTGCCCTCTATTGGAGAAGTCTTTGCTGAAGTGCGTAGGGAGGAGAGTCGCCGTCTTGTTATGCTTGGAAAAAAGGCGTCAAGCAGTCCCATTGAAAACTCAGCACTGATTGCATCAGAGGCAAACGTGAGCAGGGCTATTCCGAGAAAGAATGAAGAAAAGCCCCGTGTATGGTGTGACTATTGTAACAAGCCTCGTCACACTCGTGAAAATTGCTGGAAGATCCATGGGAAGCCAGTAAATTGGAAGGACAATCGAAAATTCAACTGAATTCCCTCTGCACATGAAGCTGAAGTTGTCCCTTCTATTCCCTTTAGCAAAGAGCAGATGGATCACCTTCTGAAGCTGCTGCAATCCAACTCTGGATCATCTGGTACTCCTAATGCTTCTCTGGCCCACTCAGGTAGTAAACCGAATGCCCTATCCTGTCATTTAAATCTAAGTTCTGCTCCCTGGATCATTGATTTAGGAGCTTCTGATCATATGACCAGTTTTTCACATTTGTTCCATACTTATGTTCCCTGTTCTGGCCTAGAAAAAATCAGGATAGTTGATGGTTCTTTTTCACCCATTGCAGGTAAAGGTTTGATCAATTTAACAAAACATATAGCACTCAAATCTGTACTTCATGTCCCGAAACTTGCTTGCAATCTTCTATCTGTTAGTAAATTGTCTAGAGATTCTAATTGCCGTGTTGTGTTCTTTGAATCTCACTGTGAATTTCAGGAGCAGAACTCGAGGAGGATGATTGGCAATGCTAAGATGATGGATGGTCTTTACTACTTTGAAGATGGACTTTCCAGCAATAAAAAAGCTCAAGGCTTGAGTAGTATTAGTTCTATCCCTATTAGAGATCAAATAATGCTTTGGCACTATAGGCTAGGGCACCCTAGTTTCCCTTATCTAAGAAAAATGTTTCCTGATTTGTTTAAAGGACTGGATTGTTCTTATCTTTATTGTGAAAACTGCATTTTATCAAAGAGTCACCGTTCTAGTTATCCGTTGAAATCTTATCAAGCCTCACGGCCATTTTATTTAATCCATAGTGATGTGTGGGGTCCCTCGAGGATCAAAACAATGTTTGGCAAAAGATGTTTTGTTACTTTCATTGATGATCACACACGTTTATGTTGGGTCTACTTAATGCGTGAAAAATCAGAAGTTGAAAATCTTTTTAAAAATTTTTATGCGATGATTGAAACACAATTTCAAACAAAAATCTGCATACTCCACACAGATAATGGCACTGAATATTTCAATGAAGTGCTAGGAAGTTTTTTAAAAGAAAAAGGGATTCATCATCAATCCACTTATGTTGATACACCTCAGCAAAATGGTATTGCTGAGAGAAAAAATAGACATTTACTTGAGGTTTCACGTGCCCTCATGTTTTCAATGCATACTCCTAAATATCTATGGGGAGAGGCCATTCTAACAGCCTGTTACCTAATTAATAGAATGCCTACCCGTGTGCTAAATTATACTACTCCGTTTGAGTATTTTAAAAAACAATCCAACTTCAATCCAATAACAAGACTCCAGTCCAACCTCCCTTTAAAGGTCTTCAGATGCACTGTCTTTGTGCATTTACCAAGTACAAATCAATCAAAACTTGACCCTAGAGCTGAAAAATGTGTCTTTATAGGATATGCTCCAAATAAAATGGGGTACAAGTGTTTTAATCCAAAAACAAAGAAAATTTTTGTCAGCATGGACGTTGCTTTTGTTGAAAAACAACCTTATTCTAACAATAATTTTCTTCAGGGGGAGAAGGAACATATTGAAGAAAATTTTTGGGAAATTCTTCCAACTCCTTTACCTAAACCAATTACAGTTGATTCATCACCCATGTCAAAACAAGATCCGAATAATAGTGATGTACCCAACCTAAGTGTGCCAAACTTAGTTGACTCGTTGACAGGGAGAGAAATACTACCTACGGTTTCAAGAGAGTCTAACTCAGAGCTTCTGCTTTATTCCAGGAAAAGAAATCATCAAAGAGGAAGAGATCCATCTATTATCATAGCACAAGATCAATCAAAAACCCCGAGTGATGAATTCCTAAAAGGATCAGGTACACAAATTCAAACCTTGCCAACCATTCCTCCTTCTTTATCATCTATTCCTGAGTCTAATGAAATTGATATACAGCCTCGGGATCTTGATATCCCTAGCTCATAGGAAAGGAACCCGTTCTTGCACCATTCATCCTATTGCAAAATATCTCTCATATAACAAAGTTTCCCCTAATTATAGGGCTTTCATTTCAAAAATCTCACACTTGAGTGTTCCAAGAAATATTCAGGAAGCACTTAATGATCCAGATTGAAAATTAGCAGTGATGGAAGAGATGAATGCTCTTAGAAAAAGTGGAACATGGGAAGTAGTGGATCTGCCCAAAGAAAAGAAAACTGTTGGTTGCAAGTGGGTATTCACCATAAAATGTAAAGCCGATGGAAGTTTGGAGAGATATAAAGCGAGGCTCATAGCAAAGGGATTTACACAGACTTATGGGATTGACTACTTGGAAACATTTGCTCCTGTAGCAAAAATGAATTCAATCCGTGTACTGTTGTCATTAGCAGTCAACTCCAATTGGCCCTTATATCAATTGGATGTAAAAAATGCCTTCCTAAATGGCAATTTGGAAGAAGAAGTTTTTATGAGCTTACCACCTGGTTTTGAAGATAAGTTTAGCCAAGGAAAAGTTTGCAGACTTAAGAAATCCCTGTATGGTTTTAAACAGTCTCCTAGAGCGTGGTCTGAACGCTTCGGGAAAACTGTGAAAGACTATGGATACTGTCAAAGTCAAGCAGACCACACCATGTTTTATAAACATACTGAAAAGGGCAAACTATCTATTCTAATTGTTTATGTGGATGATATAATCATGACAGGAGATGATATAGAAGAACTAGCAGGGCTGAAGAAAAGACTTGCTCATAACTTTGAAATCAAAGATCTTGGAACACTGAAGTATTTTCTCGGGATGAAGTTTGCTCGATCTAAAGAGGGTATTTTTGTAAACCAAAGGAAATATATCCTTGACCTACTCGGAGAAACATGACTTCTTGGCTGCAAGACTGCTGAAACTCCAATCGAGGCCAACTTAAGACTTGAAGCTGCTAAACCCGAGGAAGTAATCGACAGAGAAAAATACCAACGACTGGTGGGAAAACTCATCTACTTATCACACACACGTCCAGATATTGCATTTGCAGTAAGTATGGTGAGCCAATTCATGCACTCACCAGGGCAGGAACACTTCAACTTTGTCTATAGAATTTTAAGATACCTAAAGGGGACTCCAGGAAAAGGTTTGCTGTTTAAAAACCGTGGACATTCACAGATTGAAGTTTACGCCGATGTAGATTAGGCAGGAAGCATGACTGATAGACGATCAACTTCAGGCTATTGTACGTTTGTTGGGGGAAACCTTGTTACTTGGCGAAGCAAAAAACAGTGTGTAGTTGCAAGAAGTCGCGCAGAAGCCGAATTCAGGTCACTGGCTCATGGAATTTGTGAAGTAATTTGGATAAAGAGGCTCCTTGAGGACTTGAAGATTTATCCTGGTTTACCTATAAGGGTCTATTACGACAATAAAGCTGCTATCTCAATTGCTCATAACCCAGTTCTCCACGACAGAACCAAGCACATTGAGGTGGACAAACATTTTATCAAAGAAAATAGAAAACGGCCTAATTTGCATACCCTATGTTCCGACTACTGAACAAGCTGCTGATATACTCACTAAAGGACTGCACAAAAAGGAGTTTGACAGGTTGATAAGCAAGCTAGCTATGGAAGACATATACAAGCCAGCTTGAGGGGGAGTGTTGAAATATTCGGTGATTAAAGGCACCAGCTATTAGGGATTAAATTAGCATGTAAATATGGAAACATTAGAATTAGTCAACTACTAGAAATCAGGAAAGAAATCAGTATAGGCTAATTTAGTTAGTTTCCTTTTCTGTTCCTTATTGTAATCATATTTAAATGTATACTCTGTAAAGGTTGAATAACATATTTTTCAATTCTTCTCATTACCTACGTTTACAAAAAAACTTAGGTTAAACCTATAAAAAATCGACATTATTGTTTTGTCCACTTTTATAAGTGCTCCTGTAGCTTTGGATTCAACAACAGAAGTTGCCAATTTTCAGAGCAGGAAATATATCTCGTACAGGAAATATATCCCATACAGATAAATAACTAACCCGTCAACAAATCAGTTGCATGACACTCATTGTTAGGAACCCGAAAATCTGAGCTTCATTAACAACACTAGAAATGGAAAATTACAAGATAGATGGGAAGTTTCGAGGACCCCCGACTTCCAAAAGAGTGCACAGCACTAGACATTCTA